AATTTAAAATGTTAAAACTTTGATTGACAAAAATTCCACTCAATGTTTATTTTCAGTTTAAACAGAGCAAATTTTCTTTTATAATTGGAATTAAGATACCTTTTAGTAAATGATCATTTTTCAATTTTTTCAAACTGTTTCTAGTATCAGTTTGTTGTAAATTCCCGTTGAATTAAATTTTGACTATGCAACCATTAGGATGTAGGCAGCCCATCAGTCTCCCCCTCACCAGGCTCTCCTACCACACACACACACAATGTTTTGTATATATATATATATATATATATATATATATATATATACACACCACAACAATGTTCATCTTCAGTCTACTAGTGTGTTCCTGTGTAGTATAAAATCATCAGATGCAAGGATAAAATTTTTTTTTTTTTTTTTGTGGGGTTGAATTTAAAACAGAAATTTCACACTGTCCTTTTCTCCAGAAACTCAATCAAAATGTGGATCATCCTGGGTAAGACATTAAACTACCTCAAGCAAGGCATCTGATCAAGATATTTTTTGATGAGCATGGAACCACCTCTTGATTACTCATGTTCCCAGGTCCACCCTGACCCAGGGTGGTAGCACCAGTTAGGGTCCCAGCTATGGGCAAATAGTTGACCCACAAACTGGGGTCAAAATGCTGTGGATGTGTAAAAATAGGTTTTAATACCAGCAATGCTGCAATACATTTTTGAAAAAAAATTACCAGGATACATTTGTGGAAAAATATTACCAGCAATAAAGATCTTGTCGGTATTAAATAACCCATTGAGTAAAACAAAATAAACCAAATCAAACTAAACCAAAAAAAAATCTTTTTGGCATTGAATTACACATTGAGGTTGATATGTCATAAAACAAAACAAACCAACCAAAATGTGGAATAGAGGGCTACAAATGTCTTTCCATTTTTTTTTTTCTTTGGGTTCCACACATTTAGTGGGAAATTGTAGCCTCTCTTCAGTTCATCTGACTCCTAGGGCACTATGAGGTCCATTAATGTCCTCTCCCTCAAATTCTTTCACCAGCTTATTGTGTATTCTACACTTTAAGCGTCCAATTCTACGATAACCCACTAAAACAGTCACTAGCATCATAGCTAAGTTTCTACCTACTGATAACTAAACTATAATTTTTTTCTATTGCCCCCCCCCCTTCAGTAGGGGGATTCCTGCATGCTATCAATAAATTATCTATTAATTCCTGTAGATCTATTGGTTTTAATAACTGGGGTAATTTGCATACAGTTATGTTTGCTTTCCTCTCCCACAGCCCTGTATACTTGTTAGTTGAAACATTTACCAAGGCTAGAAAGGAGTCCTGGATTTTAAATTTTTCCTCCACCTGGTTGTAAAGCAGGAGGGATAAAGATTTCCAAAAGGCAGATGAAACCCATCTGAAGTATGATAATGGCTAGGGGCCAGGTAGCTCTTACAGTCACTGTTGGTTTTCCTTTTTATACCTGTGACAAGTCCAGTTTCCACTCTATGGCTTGTATATTCTTAATTTGCTTCAACCCTTCTAGGCAATCCTTACTAATTATCCACTTTGATCTGGTGATTATCACTTTGGCAGATGTTTTTAATATGATATTTTGGCTGGGTTTCAACACATTAGTTGAGATTATAAGGATGAATATCAACAAGACTCTCACAATGGGTCCCACCAGTACTATCAACATGATCTGATGAAAAATTCCAGGTGCATCATCCTGTCTGAAGGGCATAACTCTGAATTGGTACAAACCAACATGACAGACAAATTCAGCCTTCTTGCTATCAGTTCTATTGAGGGCTCCCTAGCCAGACCTCAAATCAAGGTTGGAAAAATAAGTTGACTTCCCCAGCTATGACAGTATGTCATTGATCAAGGGTAAGGGGTAGGCTAGTGGTTTGATTATCTTATTCAGAGCCTTCCAGCATATCCCCCAACTGGCTCTTTTAAGAGTTTATGCTTATGCAGTGGAGTTTGGTATAGTCTTAGCTTTATAAGCAGGTGACTACCAGTGTCTATCCTCATTTCCACTGTTTTTGTTTGGCTTAAGTTAGCATCCAAGTTGGTTACCATGTCTCTATTGTCCCTTATAAATCTTAGGATACTCTCTTTGTGCATATCTGGGGCTAGTATCTCCCCATCCCTAATTATAGAATTCTTGTATTTACTATGGTCTTCTGCACATCCTACCCCACCCTTGATAATAGCTGGTATAGTCTCCCCCCATTTTCTCTTCTTTATGAACCCTTATTTTTGTACTAGTAGTACTATTAGCATTATTTTGATACAACCTGTATCGTAATCTTCCAATATGGACTAATTCCCTTCTCCTAAACAAGATTCATCCATTTGGGCAACCTGATACATTTTCTTTCCTCAAATAATTGTTTTGTCGGAGAATTAATTCCACTACCACTATAGCCATGTGCAGGCATAAAATAACATCTCCGGTAGCCTTTATGGTGATTTCTCCACCCTTTCTCTTTTTCCCATCTTTAGCAGTAGATTTGATGAAAAAAATATTTCTGTACATTCATTATTTATTTGAACCAAGTCCCTAATTAGTATCATGGATCTACACAAGGTGGGTGTTGTAGCATACCTACTGATGATAATGGTGAATACTGTATGTGGTCTGCAGTTGGAGATTCATTGTGGAATTCACTTGACTCACTTCTAGCAGTTGACTAACTCTATGTGCTACTAGCAAATCTTAAATGTGTTGTTCTTGTCCTAAGTATTATCATTCATTACCAACCTTTGTGTGATTATTCTATTCAGTAACCTTCCCTAGCTTACAACAGTGGATGTCGCATACATTTGCTGCGCCGTGACTGCCCCTCCCACCTCTACAGGAAGGTTTAATACTCCTGATATCTTAATTTCCCTTCTGTCTGCCTGAAATATTTTTAGTTTTGTAATATCTAGGTCATTTTCTCTAAATCCTAGATGAAAATAATCTTTAAATCTAATCAACATGGATGCCCCTGTATCTATTAATGCCTTATTTTCTCCCCCCGCCCTGCCTTACATATAAATCAGTTTCCATTCCTGTAGAGGCAGTTTTAATTTATGGTAACACAGCTTGAACATTAACTAAAACCCTTGAGTCTAAGCTTGATGAAACCGACAACTCAGATGCTGAGAGTTATACTTAACATCTCTTGGAGACAACATCCAACTAAATAACTGCTCTATGGACCAATCCTTGATATTTCAAAAATCTTATGTGAACACAGAATTTGCTTTGCAGGATATTGCTGCAGATTGATCTACTGCTCTGGACATCTAGACATAGTGCTAAACATAGTGCAGCAATCACCCACATTGACACAGAATACGACTGTGATAGTTGGCATGATACTCATGAATGTCCAAGCTAGCTCAACCAAATAATAATAATAATAATAATGGAATTTAGCTACTGATACATTAAGTTTCCCTCATCTGTATGGTCCTACAGGAGGATGCTGAGAATACAATTCTATACTATATGAATACTATGGATGAAGATTGTAAGCAATAAGGAAATTTTCATTAAGAAACAGAAAGAGAAATTTCTTAGACAGATGATGAGATAAGGCTTTGAAAATTTGACAAGTCACATCCCAAACAAAAGGGACAGAGGAAAATAGCAAGTAAGCAACCTAATGAGCTTGTGTCAAATGGATGGCAAAATGAACTGAGAAGGATAGTAAAGGGATAAACATTGCTATGAGCTACAAAGAACTGGAAGCTGTGGAGAACCATGATCGCCCATATCCTGAAAAGACATGGAACATAGAAGATCCATAGGATGTGAAACAGCTTGGGAGATATGATAAAAAGCAGCAAAAATAACTTGTCTGAAATTATTTAGTTTCCTCAATAACAGCCTGGATATGCGGGTTTTGTAAATGTTATCATCATGATGGAATCAGCAAACCAAGTTCCAATTTCAGCCTAGTCATTTGTATTCACTTTCACACATATGACCTTGAGAAAGGTATGAATCTGTTTATCTTTCCCTTACCTCAGCTATAAGTTAAATAGCAGAGTAAACTATCTACTCTACTATCTTTCCCAAGAAGACATGGCAATTCACAGATACTCTCGGAAAGGAAAATATCCTGATGAATTCTGGCATTAAAAAATAATAAAAAATAATGGCCTAATTTTATCTTATTTTGTAAGGCCTTTGTAGGAAATAATTTTGAAAATTTAATGAATTTCTGCAAACTGGTTTTTGAATTCTGATCAGAAAACTGATTTAGTAAACATAGCTTAATGTTATTGCAAATATATTAGTTTTCTTTCAAAAGTGTTACAAACATTGTGATATTTGCAAAAGGATTTCAGTTCTACAAGTGGCTGTGAAAATTAACACTAGTTCACAATATGATTATTACTAAATGATTCTTGATATAAAATAATTTTCTGTACTTGTTTCCATGTGTATAGATGACATGTCCTCTTGATTGCATGAATAGGGATAGATATATCATATTTTCCAGAATGCATGATTTACATGAGTATTTGGGGAAATAATACTGTAGTTGATCCAACATTCATGGCTGTTCATTTTAGGCTTTGATAGACTGCTTCCTGCTCATAATACCAGTTGATGCATTTGGTATATTTCTATAATCTGTTTAAATATGTGTCTTACATATTGGAAAATATGGTAACTGTGAAAATACTAATGTACTTGTGCTATCAAAAATGACAGCAATTATTATTAAAGGGGTTATAATATATTTTGTTCCATACACAGCAGGCAGGAAAAAAATTAAAGACAGTATCATTGCTAAGCCATTTTATGCCACTTTATTTAAAAGAAATCTCTTATTATATTAATGAAGGAATTATAAACATTATTTTGTCCTATATAATTACATAAAGCATAGCACAAAAGATAAAAATAACTACACAATAACAGTTATTATATAGTGTTGATGCTTTGACTCTTCATATCATAGTTGTTTTGTAATTCTCATTTATGGTTATAATTTTTTTATTGTCAGTATGAGAGAGCAGTGAAGTGTTTCTGTGAAGACCTCAAACAGCAGCCTGATGAATTCTTTTCTATGTTTGATCTCTTCTTGACGTCCTTTGCTGAAGCTAAAAATGAAAATGACCGAATTAAACGGATGAAACTTGAGGAGGAAAAACGAGCTAAACTCGAACAGGTAAATTTTATCTATCATAGTCTCTGCCAGATTAGGAACACTTTGTTTCTTTTTAAAACTCTAAACTGTGTGGTTAGTGTAATGGACCTCATTGTGGAAAGTGAAATCAGCAAGCCAGGTTCAAATTCCAAACTAGTTTGTGTTAACTTTTGCATAAATGCCCTTAGGGAAAGTATGAATCCATCTCTTCTCCCCAGCTGTGGGTTAAACAACAGAGTAAATTGAGCCTTGGTTCGCAACCACTTTAAGAGAAGGAAACTGAATTACAACAGTAAACCATTCCACCATCTTTCCTAAGATTGCCTGGCAATTCACAGATAATAAAGAAAAGGAATCTGTGGATAATCCTAATTGCCTCCATCCTTGAAGGCACACAACATAAAAAAAAGTTTCCAAAATTACAGGTAATTCGTATCTATTACAAAATTTGGTTGTCTGCCACTATAATTTATGCACATGTCAAAGGTTAAGAAATACATCACATGACAATCTGGCTAGAGGCACAGAAATTAAATTGCCTAACTAGTTGAAACCAATTTGTCAGAATAACAAAACATGTACACCAGCTTTACACTTGCTTTTGCTTGATATGGCTAAAGCAAAATCAGACAACTTAACTATTAAGTAAGACATTAATTCACATATTTTCCATATCTACCAATGTGTATCTGGTTTGTTACCTGAACAAACTATTCTTATATTCAAGTTTTGTAAATATATAGTGTATTCTCTCAAACACATACACCTGTTCATGTTTGTTTCACTCCTGAACAAACTGTTACTATATTGTGGTTATAGTAATGCTATACTTAGATGGTAAGGTAGAATTTATTCTCCACTAGTCGTTTGATACATTAATCCCTTGAAGATCCTAGAATTATGTATATGCTTATACAAAAATATAATACATTTTATTTGATGGAGTATTTTCTTTGACACTTGATTGATTTATTTTTGTTTAACTTATTGATGCTCATTGTCAAATTTGGAAACAATTAGGATTAATGGGTTATAAGTAGAAACCTGTAATTAATATTGAAATTTTTTGTTATAAATCCTTAATTAATCTTAATTAATACCAGAATCTTTTTTTGTCATAAATCCATAATTAATACTGGACTTTTAAGTTGGGCATTAATGGGTTAATTTTTCTTTTTCTATAGCAAAAGAAAGAAAAAGAAAAGCAACGCATGTTGAAAAAGCAGGATTCTCTTGCAAGCAACCACTCCAAAGAGAAAGGGCTTATAAATGGAGTGCAAGAAAACACAGAAAAAGGTTTGACATTTTCATTTCAGAGTTTCCAAAGTCTTCACTTACTCTCTAATCATTATTCAGAAATTCAGATCCTTGAGATAAAAAACGAAATTTAGTAGAATATAGCATAAAATAAGAAAATGGATTATTGTGTTCTCCAGTTAATATTTTTTTTCCTTATTTGGATTGATAATTATAATTCACTTTACTCTCTACTGTTTAAGAATTTAATTTTAGAATTCAATTAAAAATTATAAGATGACTTTATCTGGTATTGTACATGTATATACAGCATGTCCTTAAAATCTGGACATAGAGGCAAAAATGCATATTTTCAAGAAATTAAGTTTTCAATATGAGTTCCATCATTTGTGATGTAATGGTTGATGAGCTTTGCAAGATTCACATAAATTCAATGCAATAACTCTACATTGCCATCAGTTTTAGCACATTCACTTTTTATGCATTCAATCAAGTGTGGTGCATCTGTGATTTTCCTTTGGTACACCTTTTCCTTTAACATACCCCAGAAAAAGAAGTCACTTTCTTCTTTCAGCAAAACCATGTTTAACCCTTTTCCCAGTAGAGATGTGTATATACGTTTTTACTGAAAGTGTCCTTTTTATACACTGACAAATAAACATGTTCAAAACATAATGCTCAAAAACCAGCAACAAACATGTTCATATGTCGATATTGATTCTTTTTATGACCTTCTGAGCTTGAAATGAGTCCAATTGTCAACTTGTACATCTAGTAGAGTTGTTTGCTACTGCTTGGGTACTTCAAGGTACCTCAGTTTCTTAGTTACTATATTAAAAAACAAATAAAAATTTGTCTGAAAATGAAATGTTTTTCTCAAAATAATTGGCAGAAAAAAAGCGTTAAGTGGTGGAAGTAAAAAAAAAAAAAAAATATATATATATATATATATATAGTTAATGAGATTTCCTATGTGCCCAGATTTTATGGACAACCTGTACTTTCCATTCCAAATTTAAATGCAAAAACTGAAGAAAAAAATCACAAAGGAATGAAACTAACATTTTATTTTTATTTTCTTCAGGAGAATTTGACGATTTAATCTCTGCCCTACGAACTGGAGATGTTTTTGGTGAAGACATGGCCAAAATGAAAAGAACTCGACGACGAGCCAATGCACCAGCAGACACATCACGAGAACGCATTGGGAAAGTCAAATGTTGATCATGTCATTGTTTTGTGAATTGGATAAAGACTATGTTCCTTAACACTTATAGGACTACATCAAGATTAATTTTTGGTTGGTGGAACAAAACTTACATGTTTCCATTGCTAAAATTTCCATTACAATGAAGATTAAATTTTATCATTACCCTCCCCCACTACCTTTCACAATGTTTTTTTTTCTCCAAAGTAAATTAGTAAATGAAAAACTAAAAAATAAATAATTGAAAAAGTGCTGCCTTTACCTACAAAGAAAATTCTGATATTTTTTCTTTTTTAAATGTAAGAACTATTTTCTGTTTATTATGTTTGTGTTTATTATTTAAAAACTAAAAAATATTTATTGCAAACTCTTTCAAACTCACTTTAAAAATTTCAAGGTCATCAGTAAGTTGCTTTTTTTTTTTCTCAAAGTTTGTGTATGGGTATTTGATACAGTTTTCACTGTTTTTATGTCACGTAATAATTGTAGAATGTCTGTTTTAAAATTTACAAATATTTGTAGGGATGCCCAAAGAACTCAATTCTCTCAAATTGAAATTTGAAGAGCATAATTATAAACAAAATATTACCAAGGCATTTTGAAAAACTATTTGAAAGTTTTTTTGCAGATTCTATAAAACAAACTCAAAGTTCATTACCTACTGGCTTAAATTTATAAAATTTCTTTTTTTTTTCTTTTTAAGGAAATCTAATTTGAGTTTGAATATTTTTTGTTTATATTTTCAAACATTTAAGAAATAAATTTAACTGAAATCTATTTTGAAAAGTAGCACTTTTTTAATGTTAACAAAAATTAAAAAAAAAAAAGAAGCTTAATCCTCCCCACCTCAAATCTTAACCTGAAAACAGCTCAACTAAAGCTGAAAGCACAGAATTTAAAAAGAAAAAACAAAAAGAAAAAAAAAAACACCCATTATTGAATTGAATAAACACTTTTTTTTTCTGTGTCTTACCATACTTTCCCGGTCCTTGTTGTCAAATGTATTTGCAAAAAAACTACTAATACTACTCCTACTATTACAATTATCATCATCACAATACATTGTATAGTGTTCCATAATATTGGGGGTATCTACTCTGTTTTTTTTTTTTTTTTTTTTTAAATACTCTCAGTTATTGGGATAATTCAATTGTTGTTTAATTTATGTTGTTTTGTTGTTTGTTATTCTTACATCTGAGCTCTTTCTTCCTCTTTCTATTTTTGTGTACAAAGATAGAAATTTTCTAAAACATAAATAAGAGACAATGGCTTCTCAAATAATTCTTGAATATTCTGTCAGTAATAACTGCCAAAGATGTGACTGATATATTTTAATTTTTTTTTTTTTTTAAAAAAAAAAAATAAATAAAAGTTCTTCTTACAAGGGAGTAGACCTTTCTTTGTTAGATATTGCAAGCTGAATCAGCAACTAACATAACTCATTAACAGCAATAAACTAAAACATGTGAATCTGTAATTTTTTATTCTTTACAAACTTAACAAAACAATTATAATCTCATCTTATAAACTGAAGTGTCAAAAATAAAAATTAGCTACTTAGTGAGGTGTAGATGCTCCTTTTTTCCTGACCATTGAGTAATGGATAGTGGCTACAATTAAGGAAACAGAGAGCTGGGTTCAAATTCCAGTTGAATCCATTACATTCACTTATATGCTAAATACCCTTCTTAAAGGTATGAATCCTCTTCTTCTCCCCCCAGCTATGGGTAAATAGCAGGACAGACTGGGTTCTATAGCCTTGGATGGTAACTGGTCTACTGCAGAAAGAAATGGCAACCTACTGCGGGAAAAAAAAATTGCCTTGTCAGTCATGTATCAAAAGATACATGATTGCCTAAGCATGTATCACACATGGCATTTAAAGAAGAGATGCAACATGACATATTCTAAGTTGATGGACTTTCCTGGTTATATTTATCCACACACATTCCAGAGCTGTCTATAACTAAGTTGTGTTTAATCAATACAAAAAGAACAGATACATTAAAAAGAAGAGGAAATTGGGCAAAAGAAAATATAGCTACAATAAATGGTAATACAAAAGAAATAATATTAAAAACAGCTGACCAGCTTTTGTTCCTCTCTCATAAGAGTTCAGTTGAGGAACGAATACTGTGTGCAACGTCCAAAAGAAAAATGGCAGAAAATGTAACCAAAAAGAATGGTTGCTGGGTCTAAATGTGATCTATTTATAGTATAGGTATACATATGTCAATATATTATTGATATGTGTATTTCTTATCCACATTTTCCCTCTTTTTTTCTTTTAGTCATTGTGGAGAGTTTCTCTAATTCCTTGATTGAGTTTTGATGAGAGCAAAATGAAAACTGGTCAGCTTTTTATAATATTTTTTTCTCTATTTTTATGGTTTTTGTTTTGTTTTTTTTGTTTTTTACATATTGCCATTTACTCTTCTGTCCAATTTCCTCTTCTTTTTTTTTTTTTTTTTTTTTTTTTAATGTTTTTATAGCATTGATTAAATTTTGTACCTTCAATAAGATAAGTTGTGTTTATTGTGTATAGCTGTAGCAAATTTAATAAGGTTTGCAACATGATGCTTTCTGGCCCAGGTGAGATACAATGTTGCCTTTCTTTGTCAATAGCTATGAAACTCTATTCTATGCAATGTTTGCTGTACAGTTCATAGACTGATGGGTTGAGTGGCAGCTGTTTTGAATTGGAATGTGATTGATGCAATGTTCTCTTTCATTAGGTGGTTACATTGCTTGTCAGTCTCCGGCAGTTCTATTCTTGCATCACCTATGGACATCTGCAGTCACCAATGTCTGTTCAGAAGGCTTGAGGAAAAAAAAAACGATCATTTTGCAGTTATATATAGTTAAATCATGTCCATGTTTCATGGCTGCCACAGTTACACTACCTCTTTACCCATTACATCATGCACATGTTGTCCAGTTGATTCCATTTCTACAAGTTGGAGAGAGTGAAAATGTACTGCTTTCTCTAATTTTTTTGCACTTCAGTTTATGTTCATAATAAAACTATCAATTTAACAAATTTAGAAGTTATGAAAAACAACTTAGTAATTCTAATAATCTTTACAGTTTAGAATTTTAGATTTTCACATAATTCTTTTTTGTTTTTCTTAAGTGAAGTAATAGGCTATGGTTGATCATTATTTGTTTTTAATACTTTTTTCTGTTAAAATGCATAACACTAAAAAAATAAAATAAGATTTTTCCCATCTTTTAATGAAATTCTAAACAATCTATGGCAAATTTTCACTGAATATTGAAGAACCACACAATTCAGCTTAATAACTATTCACCAAAACTCATCTAGATTTATTTAGAGAAAGCTACAAACTTGAAGTCATAAAACATTTTCAGGCTAGTGATAAAAAAAAAATACTGCAACAGAGAATGATGGAAGGAGAAGTCATGGTCATTTTATTAGTAAGCCATATTTATGAAAAAGTGACTACTATATATATATATATATATATATATATTGTGTAAAAAGTCAGCTATGTTTTGGGATTAAGTAATCATATATATATATATATATATATATATATATATATATATATATATATATATATTCTAAAAGGATAAAATTCATACCTAGTTTTAAATATCATCTTATAATATCAAATTGATTAACATGCCTGCTTTTATCTGTGTATGAAAAGAAATCTATTAGGTTCAGGCTTTGAAGTTTCAATAATCTTGCAATGAGATGCCCAGTCAGAAGTATAGTAAATATATATATATGAGCCTAATTTTTCTAAAGTGATAATGTTAGGACATTATCTGTTGTCATACTACTTATAGTGATCATTTAATAATTTACTTACTTATATTATTAATAATAATAATAATAATATACCTTAATAATTTAAACTTCCTGATTTTTGTTTAAATAAAAAAATAAATAATCAAAAATCAAAAACGGATTTAATAAAAATCCAGTTTAAATAATCATTCTTAAAGTCGGATGTCGACTCAAATAATTGTATTCACTAAATATTTATAGTAATATGTATAAATTTGTTTTGTTAATAATATGCCTGGTTTCTGATCCAGATACCAGTAACATTTTGGGAGGAGTTGGAAAAAAATATGAAATAAAAAAAAAAATCCTTATTCTTTTAACTTGCTATTCAATTTAAATATCAAAATTGATTTTTGAAATAGACATTTAGAAAAGTAGCAGACAATTTTGTCGAAATAAATGCTTTTAAAATGTAATCAGTCTTCAGTATCAGAATTGAATATGCTCAAAATTTGGTGTTAAGAAAAAATTCCAGATACAATGTTTTAATTATAGCCAAAACATGAAATAGATTAAATATGAAAATAGCAATAAATACTTTTTCTTATAATTGATATTTTAATAATGTACTTAATAACAATGGATTCAAAATAGTTTGTCATGATATAAGTGTATATAATAAAGTGTGTGTATCTGCAGTTCTAATAGCAACACAACTAGATTATGGATTTATTTATGAGAGATAAATATATATTATGACATCCTATTTATTTATATATATAACAATAACAAAGATTGTTTTTCACCTCTCTCCCCTCAAAAATAAACAGTCAACCAGGGTATTTCTGGAAAAAAAGCCTTTTACAGTAAGCAGTGTTTGTAATTAAATTGCTCAACATAAAGAAGTAGAGCATTAATAGCAACCAATAAAATTAAATTTTCACTTAATCGTCTCTATTCAGTTGCAATTTTACTATGAAGCCCACCCCTGAGGAGTGGATGCAATTTCCATGAAACTGTGAGTACAGACAGATAAGTGAACATCTAATTTGTTACTATATATATATATATATATATATATATATATATATAAAAGCAAAAAAGCCCATTTAATCACATGATCTTGTACCTATCATATCTTGTCTTCATTATTTTCTAGAAGCCAAATTCCTTCAAAGCTGCAAACTGACTGGAAATTTTGTTGTATTTTTATACCATCCCCACCCAAAGAAAAGGAATGAACAAAGTCCAACAAAAATT